AGTTTTTCAAGTTTGGGGTGGGTGCTATTCGGCTTGTGGTAGATGGTGGTTGCTAGGTGGCTGGTGGTGTTTGGGTGGTGGCTTGTTTGGTGCAGCCTGGGAAGGAAGTGATGAAGTTTTTCATGTTTGTTTAATATTCTAAAATAATTTTTTAAAATTGTTAACATCCATGCTGGATTTACACTTAAGATGAGTTACATAAGTCCTTATAAGTTATTTTACAAAAAGATAAACTTGTCTTTAAAATTTTAAAGATATGGTGGGTGGGAAAATAGGACAAGATGATGAAAATAGCATCACTCAATTAATTATTTGATTAAAATAATAATAATTTATGAATAAAGGGCACACTCTTAGAGTTTTGCCATGAGCCTTCAATCACCCAGGGCCGGCCCTGGTCATATTTAACTATTAGTTGCGATCAAATAAAGTCGAAATTGAGGATTTGTTCATATTTTATAAATGGAGTAGTTCTTTTAATTTATAAACAACGGTTCGTTCTTGTTCTTCAACCAATGCACTACTTGTCACTACAAGAAAAATAAACAATATGAATAAAACAAGGTGTGTTTAATGACTTTACGTGTCCATCAAATTCTTCCTTTCATCATCTTTTTATTATCTTTGATGCCCAATGTTACGAAACTCGTCATATCATCAGGTGAAAACAAAAGGCCACATTGATATCATGCACGCTTAACGATAAGAAATAAGATCGTATGAGCCGGCAGAAGAGCACAGATGAACACAAGAAGCCACAGCAGCAAAACAAAGCCAGCGCAGAGCCATCTCAGCTAAGCATGATAGCCAAATCTTACATTTTGAAGTTAAGCTAACTTCAATTAACTAAAAAACATGGATCCTTTTCAACTAATAGGAACTGATTTACAGTGGACGTAGAGCTTTGGATTCTATTCAAGGGAGGTCATATGAGGATTGGATACAATTAAGTCTACTTTTACGGAAACCAACTTTGTTTACGAACTTAACGGTATGTACAAACTTATATGGCGCATGACATGGCAACCGATCTAAACTTATATGGAGAAAGAATATAAAAGAAGAGGTTTTTTGATCTTTGGTTTCTTCTCTTCTACTGGTTATAGCTAGCGAAATTTCTAATGTTTTTAAGCGTGAGACTTGATCCTTTTAATTACACATCGATCAAGTCTTGTTTAAATTTGAATTAGACTAATCAAATGAAATTTTACTATCTAGGAAATGATCTCTTCTGTCAGCTTTTACTTGTCGTTATTTGTGGCTCTATATCAGAAATCTAGAAGTCTTCCAAATTATCAAATTGTTCTTCGAAATTTAGAAAGCTTTTCGAATCCAATTAGAAGAAAAGTTCAAAATTTTTATTTCAATAACAAAAAAAAATATACTTACAAATGCATAGAGATTTATGAAAGGTTGCAGTTCATTTATGTGGTACTACAACTTGCAAAATGTATCCCCACACCATCATTACAAAAACGAAGATGCCTAAATCTATTACATATAGGATAATTACTTCTTGTAGGTGAACATGACATCACTTTGACTCTTATTTAGAATTATGAACACCTATAGGTAGTAATTTAACGGCCAGTATTACTTTTTGTAGTTGACTATTGTATAATTTAATTTAGTTTTTATTTTTATGTGTAACTTTCCAAGTTTCAAAGTTATCCAAAGAGTCTTATATACTTGGTTTGAAGAAGAAATTAAGCCCTCGAATGGTCCAGTTAGCGTTGTTGATGCCCAAAAAGGGACTTTATTTTGAGCAAGGTCTAAAATATCGAGAGTTTCGGAAATATCGGTGGTCCAAAAATACGGATATATCGATGGAAATATCCAGGAAATATCGATATCGATAAAAATTGAATAAAAATAAAGGAAATTGTGAGAAAAATTTGGAAATTTTTATTGAAACTTTAGAGGATGTTTACTTTAGTCAATTGTCTATTATTTTATCACAAAAAATTGGAAGGAAATGCATGGCATGGTGGGTTTGACTGATTTAAGTTGATTATGTAGTGACCTGACAAACACTGTGACTTTAGAAAATATGTAATAATTAGTGAAAGAAAATTAAACACACCATAATTTTTTAGTTATATATAATAATTTACTACAATATATTACACTTGATACATATGATAAAATATATGAGCTTGACCAAAAAAACAAAGATAAAATGTATGAGTAACTTAGTACCACATAGAAAGAATTCCTATTAAAGTTCAAACTTAGTATCACATATAATGAACAATATTAAAACTCGAAGTGAATAATACAACTCCATAATATATAACCAAAAAAAAAAAAATACAACTCCATGATAAAATAATAAATAACATAAAATATATGCCTAAATTTATCCATAGGGAATTTTTTTAATATAGAAATTTATCCTAGATAATAAATATTAACTTGCA